GCCTGCTCTGGTTCCTGAAGTAAATTTTCCATTTATTTTTCCCAGAGACTTTTCTAAAAATGTAAATATTAAGAGTTCAAAGGAGTTGCAGAATCTAATCAGCAGTGTGATATCTAATAACCATAATGCAATTGTTTTATGTCCAAAAAGCAAATTTAAAACACAAGATTCAGCAAAATGCTTTCATAATTTAGTGGTTTATAATATTTCAGAGACAGAATTTTAATACAATTATAGGTCTTGTGGTCATTAGTTACCACATAGCTGATTAGCCCTGAACTTTCAAACTCTTTTTTTTTTTTTTTTTTTTAGGAAAGTCTATGAGAAAAATGAATGAGAAATTTAGTTCTGAAGCAGTGAGTGGGCAGTCACTGTTGAGCTCCGTAGCCTAGCTATATAATGCACTGCATTTTATTGACTAATACTATACAAACAAACATGACTTAATGCTCTTAAAATAAATTGTTATGGTGTTATTATTGGCTTAGTGGCATTCCCTGCTTGTCTCTATGAATATTGATAAGTTAAATGCCATATTGTGGAACATTTTAGGCAAAGTAATAACATCTCTATGCACAGAAGCAGGTAATGGGCTCTCCACACAGAGCACCTTCAAATCCTTGGTAAAAATCATTGTGCACAGTTGTATTTCATCATGTTGAGAAAGAACCCAGAAGAAACCTGAAACAGACATGTAAGAGGGGCACCAGGTGCAGCTCCAAACACCATTACTGACACAGCAGAACAGCTCTATTAGTTTTTCACTCACCCAGACCTTTGTGTGTAGATATTAAACCTTACACAACTTACTCATTTAGAAAACAGACAGGAGTTTGTGGTATGTAGATGCATTGAAATTCTGCTCTTCTTCACATGTGGATTTTCTTGTTAGATTTCCTTCAGGGGAGTGTCACTGTCATTAAATCTTCACTGTGCAGAGGCAGAGCAATGTTCAGTATACCTGTGTGACTGTGCAAAAAGGAAACTGCATATGCTTTGCTCTGTGTCATAGATAAATGTGTCAAACTAACTAATAAATCTCAATTACTTATAGGTAATTTGAGGGTGAAGTCTGTCTAAATAACAGGGCTCCAAGATAAATCACAATAAAAATAGCATTAAAAAACATCCTGTTATTTTGTAAAATCTGCAAACCTTGTAGTCTCGGCCTCTGACAAAACGTGATTATTTTGGCCATGTTAAAAATGTGAACCTTTAACAGAATCTTATAATTTTTTAAATGTTAAAGGTCCTATGTTACGCAATTGACTCTTGTGAGGTTTAAGGTGTGTTAGAATGTTGTTACCTCATCAAAAAATACTTTGAGTTGTGTTCTGTTTCGTTTACACAGTTAGTCTGTCTACATCTCCAAAGCCTAAAATGCTCTGTTCTACCTTGTGATGTCATGAAGCAGTAGATTTTAAGTTACCAGCTAAATTTTAACTTTTGTTCAATTGAGATGGGCAATTCCAGAGTTGAAATCATTGAAGGTGAAGGTGAAGGTGTATGGAGTTTAAAAAAGACAGTGGAGCACTTCCTGATGACATAACAAGGTGGAGCAGACTGTAGAACTCTTCCTATATTTGCAGAGTTTGTGTGTCAAATGTGTGAAATGAAAGGAAACACAACTCCAGGTATGTTTTTGATGATTGTAACATAGATAAGAGCATAGTATATAGGACCTTTAAACAAATCAAAGTTGCAATGCTTTTCAGAAAAATCCATTTTTAGCGAACGGTATATCTTCATACATTAACTGAATGAAGTACTGTTTTGTATGGTGTATCCCCTAAGGTGTGTTACTGTATGAATGAGTAAAAACCTGTATAATCTGACTAACTTCTATATGACCTTCATGTTTCATACAGTTTCAATACTGTTATTCATAGACAATTGATATATGGACTCCTTGTCAGGCCTTAACACTCCTCCACAGACCTCTTAAGTGCTCAAATAGGATAGACAGTCTTTTGAAATTCCCCATACATTACACGGCTCCCTAACTTTAGACTTGGCAGGACATAGGGGCCTGGCACTGACCCACATGGATTCCTGCTTCCTCCTTTCTTGCATCCTCTCATTTGTTTCGTTTGTCCTTGTCCTTTGTCTTTGCCATCTCTTCATCCATATTATGTATAAACAGCGCACAACAGTCATTAAACAGCATTGATTTCCGCTGTACTTACTGATATGGTCTCTTTTTAAAACATCAGTATTTTTATAGCAGTTAATTTCCGGTCGGTCTCCTGCCTACATGATGTTCTGTATGAGTCACGGTGCCCTGGTTTGTTCATTTTTAGCTTGTCTAATAACCAACTTTGATTGAATTGTTGTTTCAGCACAAGCTGTGGCCAGAATGTCAATAATACAAATACTGGAAGTAGGTCGGTCATGATAACAAATTTTGAATAATAACCCTTAAAGCTGCACTATGTAACTTTTGGTTGGCCCATCAGCTTCTTGTTTCTATGGATATGTCATTTCTCTGCCTGAAATGTTCCAAAGTATGACATTAAACAGTTGTAACTTACATTTATTAAATTACAGGTGCTTTTATAGCTCAAAAATACATAGAAAAGCAGGCATTCTGACTGTGAGCAGGGTCGTCTCTCCAGAGATCTGATATTGACCTCTAAGTTGATCTGGTTTGGTCTCCATGAGTACTTTTGGGGTTTTCAGTTTGTATCTACAGTGTAATGAGTCAGAGAAGTCATTCATTCAACCCTCTACAACTCAAATTTCATCATAGTACAAAAAATAACTAGAAGAGTACCACAATAAATACTGAACCTCAAATAGTATTGTTCCCTCTAACATATTCTGAACTTGATATAGTATTTATCGTGACATGCCTAGCTAGAAGTATTATTGTAAATCATGTCCCAAAGATAATTAATAGTTGTCAGTGTCATTTCTATATCTGTTTAGCATTAAAATCCTTCATTAAAATCCAAGCAGCTTGACCCAAGTCATTAGAATGTGTGTTTTTCATCCTCTTATGTAATCTCTTCTGTTATGCCTGGTGCACTAGTTTGGCCTGTTATGGGATTTTGGTTAAAGGTGCTGGTGGGTGGGAGGCAGAGCTGGAAACAACATGTGCACTCACTCAATCCCCTCAGATTAAGACCACAAGGGATGTTATGGTCAAAGTATTGTCACCTCTAGCTCCGGATTAAAGTCAATTTATTAGGACAGGCATTTAAATGAATAGACCGTTATGAATTATGCATGAGGCTTTTTTATTTAATATGCAGTACATCAAGAGAGGTTAGAAATTAAATGTCTTGGGTGAGCGTTTATGAGTGCAATTGTAGTGTACAATGGGGGGTGGTATAGGTCGTGGCAAATTGTATTACGGGGAAATGTACCTCAAGAATTTTGATGATTTTACTTAATTGTGATTAGATTAGATTAGATCAGATCATTATTTATGACATTAGTGACTTTTCTTTCTCTGTTCTATATTATACCATGAGGAAGACTAGCTTTGTGCCAGTCCAAACTGATGATGAGCTGCCTTGCATTTTTTTAAAATTTATAAATAAATAAATAAATCTTTTAATGTTTCTCAAATTATAAAAAATAAAAAAGTCATATTCTCACACTTGCAGTGTGCTTGTTAGGTCTGCAAAATCATGTGGATCCTATGTCTGTTCCTCTGTCTATTGTGGTCACCTTTAGTTTCGATACTGATTCCGATACTATAGCTTAAAGTTCCTACCGATTCCCAATCCAAATGTGTTGTGTAACTGATTTATCCTCAAGTAACTACAGAAATATTTTGTATATATAAAAGCTCAAATATTCTGAGACTTTCTGGGCCAACTACAAATAGAAAATATTCTTACTACATCAATTTATATGTCCCATTATAGATTATCTGCTGAACCGACATTTGGAAGCGGATATCCAATTGAGCAAATTTTCAGTATCGGTGCCGATATCTGATAAGAGTATTGGGTTGGTGAATCCCTAGCTGTCATTTATCAGTATTGTATTGTGTTCTTCATGGACTTTTAAGATTGATCACTGCTCTTATGTATCTACACTGCACATTTTTGTAGTTCAAGTAATTCTAGTTGATGTTATGTATGTGACAATACCAATACACTACAGTAGGAGTGTAACAATACCCGAAATATCATGATATCGTATTGTCAAAGTTCTCACAATAATATGGTGGGCCATGACAATATTTCAAATTACAAGTCTCTTTGCTTAAATTAAGAGTTATGGTGCAGAAATAGCTAAAACAAACAGAGGGAACTACATACACCATGAGCCTTTGCTCCATTTCAGTGCAGACTACATGAAGAAATAACAGTTCTAAGCACTTTTAAGTCTTAGTTCGTTGGATCAAGTCTTATCAGGACATTTTAAGAGGAAAAAGTAGCACATTCACATTTTTTTTAGCATCCATAAAATATCACAGTAAATATTGTACTGTGAGATGTATGTCGTGAAAATATCTTACAGAGAGATTTGGATATTGTTACATCCCTAATTGTGAGTCTCTTCACCATATCGTGAGCTTTCCCATGATATCACAATAAATATCGTACCATGAGGTTCATACCGTGATGATATCGTATCGTGACACTTGGACACCCCTACACTACAGTATACTATAAATAAAGGCATTTGAAGTTTATCAAGTACATTAAGAACTTTATGGCAACTCTACTGTAAGTGAACTGTCTATTTAGTTCACACTCCTTCCTCTCGTCTCTTATTGCTCTCTCAGGCACTCAACTCCCCCTGGCCATCCTGAATTGTTAGCCTCTGACGGAATCCTTACTTTGCCCTAAACCAATCAAAGCTCACCAGTAGGATCCTTACTCATCAGCAGCCAATCAGCTGTTAGCAGTGGGCAGGTCTTCAGCTAGCTCATGCTTGTAAACAGTCCTGACAGTGGGAGGGACTCTCAGCTCCCATTCCCACCCTTTACTGTTGTCATTGCAGTTTTCCCAAAGTCTGTTTTTGTGTTCCATGTTGGACAAGGGGAAAACGCCACAGAAGAGGAAGAGTGGTCAGTGAGGGAGGGAGGCGGGCACGTGTAGACCAGGGCGTGTGCTGGATCACTTAACTGTGCTTGGATTTGTTATGGAGTATTCTTGACTTCAGCTGACAGTAAGTGAACTTTTGTAGAACTATTTTGTTAAAGTTGATTAGATAGTATGAAGTGAATTGCCTTCTTTGGTTGCTTGAGTTGTCACTGTGCATTAGTTCAGTGCTCTGTCTAAGGAGGTTTGACACTGAGTCCAAAACAAAAGACTCATACTGACAACTCAAGTCTGTCCTTGTTGTTGGCTTTTTTATGGTGAACAAGTCAACTGGGAACACTGATTATAGATAGGATTTCAGAGGTTTCTTCTATCTATGCTTTTACTTTGATGTGAAAAGACAACATTAGCAAAGACAAGTGGCGGGTCATTCAGCAGAGTCCAGGAAAGTAACATAGTGCATTTCAAAGTGGTGTTATGATGAAGTAATACTTAACTATACTGGGCATATTTCCCTTCCACAATCTTGCCACAATTTTGCCTAAAAACATTACACTCACTATGCAATATGTTTTATACAGTTTTATTCAATTAGGAGTGAATATGCTGTTTGTGTTTAAATCCATAGTCATAAACTGCATTTAAAAAACACTTTATTGACTTTATTCCATACTTAAAATCCCCAGCGTGAGTCTTTCAAACACTACTGTTAGTGTGTGGATTGTACAGGGAATTATGACACTTCGGTTTTGATGGTATTAGGACTACTTCTCTCATCTTTTAGCCCAGCATGTCTGAACTTGATATGGTCTTTTTAACTGTCAAATACAAATCTCCAAGACTCCCACATGTTTTCTCAAGCCTTACCATTAACTTGTCACACTTACTTTACAGTCAAAAGTGAAAGTGAGAGATTAAGCAGCTGTAAATGCACTAATGTTGTATCCATTGGCATCCTTGAATAACTGCAAATGTACACAGTGAGTGCAAAAGCATGACCGCCTCGTGCCCAAAGTCGTTTGACAGACAGCTGGTGTTTTTGTCAGGTCCGTGCTAAGTGTTTCCCACTAGTACTATGTAGTGGATGCCATGTAGCCATGTTTTTAAGACCCTCATACATGACATAACCATTTAAACAAATCCCCCCTTTTTTCTTTAAAATCTCGAATTTTGTCTTTGAACATTGGGCATTCATGTTCTTCTCGCATCAGGATGGGATACTGAGGCTTTCCCACAGGTATTCAAAATCAACCTAAAACATACACAAACACTTGTTTTCTAGCTATTACTAGGTATTAACTCTATTGTTAAACTTTAAGCACAAGCATCAGCGCTGAGTATAGGAAAACAAGTTGGTGCTAATCTTGACTCCTATGTGCATAATATAAGGTAAAAAACTACTAACTCAAACCACAAGGAAACAGTCAGGGATTTTTATTGTGCTCATGGCACACACACACACAAATCAACAGAAGTAAACACATGAAATCAGTGCTTAGACCTGTGCTCTTATTTTAGCCCATTGCCCACACCACTTACACTTGACTCTAAATGTGGACTTGATCAAATGACTGTTGTGTAACTGTACGGACTGACTGCACAGACGAACAAGCAGGAATTTTACAGTTCCATAAAAAAACATCCTGCGTCTGATCTGGTTTTTGTTACACTTAGAAACTATTCTTTTCAATTAAAGAGTCTCTTCTAATGGACAGTCTTAAAGTGCTCAGTACAAAAGAATCAGTCCTTATTTCTATTTCATAACACAAGTTTAGTCCACTTCAATTTCCTCCTGTTCAAGGATTAGAAGACAGTTTGGAGCTGAGCAGTTTTTAGCCTAAGGACGGCTGCAGTACATGTGGAAATGGGTCTTTTTAATCCACTATTGTTTAACCATAATTGCTGTAATGTCATTTTGATACACAGTGCATGGATGTAACTAGAGATCAACATGTATATATATTTTTTGTGGCAATATTTTCGATTCTATAATCACCCTAAACCATCCCTAGATCTGATTTTGATGAATCCAAGCAAAATATCTGCCTATACTGGAGATTTAAGCATATATGCCGATCTCCCTCGCTCCCCTAACTGCAATTTTATTTACTTATGCTTGTGTTTACGCTTTGTGCTGTGCTCTTTAAAAAGCAATTATCCCTGCAGTAGAAGAAGTAGTAGTGGTAGTAGTAGGAGTACCTAGTGACCCCTCCTCATATCTTTTGCCTTGAGCTTTGTTAGGAGCTCCACTTTTACTATAATGCCAGGAGACCCACACAGACACCACATACGGACTCCTAATCTTCTTATTCGGATGCTGTAACTCCTGACATACTGTAGTACTTGTCCATCGCTGTAGTGTGAATGTGATCCGTCTATCAGATGCTCGTCGGCTTAAGGAGTGACCTTTACACTGTCAGCTATAGTCTACATCTGATGAGATCCTCTGGACTGCTATCTTTAACCTCAAAAGGAACAGCGCACAATGGCCAGAGATGGGGGATTGTACGCAGCATTGAGGCAGATGTGACAGATGGATGGTTGTGGAGGGAGGGCTCTGGGTGCAATGACATGTCTTTAATAACTGCAGTAGTAGACGTCAGTATTAGTATGTCCTGCTTAGTAACTGTGTTGTTATAGACCTGTGTGAGGACCAGGGAGGAGGCCACATGCTGCGGTATATGGGCATGCCTGTGTCTGCTGTATGAATTATGGATGTTGACCTACTGAGAAAATCCAGTAAATGGCTTGAGTCGGTTAGTAACACAAGATATAAATAGGATAGAAAGTGCACATTACGTAATGCAAGTAAAAAGTGCTTTTATGACTTATTTCGTTTGTTTTAGGAGAGTAATGCGGTCAAAAGGGCAAGTTTATTTTTAGATTCAGTATCGATCCAGACGGTTAAAGGTACACTATGTAACATTTCTGGTGGGTCATCAGCTTGATGTTACTTTGCCTGTAATTTTTTGCAGTGTGGCATTACCCTTACATAGCGTCTTGGAGAGAAAATCAAATATGTGCCTGGTCAAAATAGAATACCTGTTTTTCAACAAAGTTTTTATACACCTGTAATCGATTCAGTTCAAGATGAATAAGTTTAAGGATATATTGGGGAACATTTTCGGCAACGTGATAACATCTCCATGGAGACAAGCAGGTAGTGGTCCACCTGATAATGCACCTGTGTCAACCAAAGGAGTGTCACAGATCAAAAATACTAACATGAATTCAGTTGATTCTTCTTTTACTATTGTGAGGAATTTTCAGGTAACATGTTTATTGCCTACAAAAGTACTTACCCTGAACTCAGATATATTTTGTTTTTACTTTCAACTTAACAAATTTGTGTAGTTTGCACATGTCTACAATCGCATATATGTTTTAATATGTTTTTTATGCAATGTTTCATACACCATTCTTGCTCCAAAGCCTTAACAACCTCAAGTCTGTCTGTCTTTAACCTCATAGAGTTCTTGTCTTGTTTGCTTCCTATAGATTTTATTTTTAGCTGCTACAATTAGCCGGTACATTAAAGAGTATACGCTCATAATACAGTGGTGTAATTAAGTCTTATCTGTAAATGCTTTGATGAGTGTAGAAGTGGGCCACAGTGAGACAGAGCCTCTTGTTGCTAGGCAGAAAACATGTGTGTGTCTTACCACTGCATTGTCATGAGAGATAGGGTTATGTAAGCTTTGGGGCCTCTTTTTGGACTTTGCAGATGTATATCAAATGTTATGATTACACAAGATTAAATAAATGTCCATTCACTAATGCAATGTGCTGATTATGCAATAGAAATCTCTGTTATCAGACAATTCACCTTTATATGTAACCTAATGGCAGACATCTATCTAAATGTTACCTGACATATCTCTATGCCTGAATAAAATGTGAAAGGGCCTATATTATATGATGCTGTTTTCTAATCTATGTTATAAAGTTGTTTCTTCAACAAAAACATACCTGGAGTTTTGTTTTGTTTTATTAACCCATGTTTAACACACAAACCCTCACCCTGAATATTTATGCTGAGTTCTTCCCTCAACCAGAAAACACTGCATATACCTTCACTAGATGATTTCAGACCTGGAATTGCCAATTTTCTTCACTTAACAAAAGGTAAAAAGGAGTTGTTAACTTGAAAACTACCACTACATGACATCACAAAGTGGAACAGAGCATTTTCAGCTTTGGAGATGTAAATATACGAATAATGCAGGATCACTCAAACTTGTGTGAATGAAACAAAACAAAAGCCAGGTAACAATGTCTTAAAGCTCACAAAAAATTTTGATTTTGTGTAATATAGAACCTTTAAGACACTTTTAGAACTATTGTACTATTTTATTATTTAATATTATTTTATTATTTAACGTTCAAATCCAAATGTTTTCTGACATATCTCTATACCTGAATAAAATGTGAAAGGGCCTATATTATTCTATTTTCTAATATATGTTATACATGTTTTCTGCAATAGCAAAAAGGGACTGTAATACCATCTTATAACTAACTGTAGTGATAACCTACATGTTATTTTTCCAAATGTCCACGTCTGCTTTTCTATACAAAATATCTCCAGGTTTTTATGACTTGTGATTGCGATGCAGCCAATTTCGTGTTCACATTTAAATAATTGTTTAAAAAGCTCCTTAGGCAAATGTTTTCCACTTTTTCCACACAGTTCTCCCTTTCTCTAAGTTTTGTTGCGGTATTAACCTAGAAACCATCTTAACAATAGGCACGTTTTTGTCCCATTGAAGGAATTAGTCAGATTTATCAACTCTAGTTCCTGGTACCTCCTCTGGGCTTTACTCTGCTCGTAAACTCTCAAAACTTTGCATAGTTCATCCTTGTCATTTTGTACTTCACTTATTAACTGATACATTGTTTGTGTATAGGTTTTCAGCTGTGGTGGTGCGGGGATTTGAATGTCCACGACTATGGCCAAGAGGGAGGCGGGGAGCACCAGTCCAGTAGTCCGGCAGATTGATAAACAGTTCTTGGTCTGCAGCATCTGTCTGGACCACTACAGGAACCCCAAAGTCCTGCCCTGTCTACACACCTTCTGCGAGAGGTAACTAAAGCATTTGTATTGAGTTCACAGCAGTCCTGTGCTGGGAGTTTCCTTTAGATAAACCTGGCACAGATTTTATGCATCACTCTGCACCATCTGCCTATTTATGCACTTAGCTTCCAGGGTTACTACAACTAGTGGAGTGAAAATGGCTGAATATGTGAGTTATGTTTTAAGACCTTGGAAAGTACATAGCTTTTTTTATTTGAGTTTGCTTAGAAATATTTCCTGTGTGAGGTGTAAAACAAGCCTTCTCATGCAATTTGATTACCTGACCAGCCAGAACCACACGCTTAGACAAAACTACAATGACGGGTGGATCTGGAGTCATATCCTGTAAAAAAGAGGAAAACATCTTAAAGGTTCATTGTGTAACTTTCCTGGTCAAATGCTTTTCTTCATAGAGATGTTATTGCTTTGTCTGGAATCTTTCACAGTATGGAATTAAACATTTCTATCTTCAATGGAGTCCAAACCAAAAGTTACAGGTCAGATCTGTTGAGAGGCGACCCCACTCACAATCAGAATGCTGTGTTTTTGAGCAGTAAAACATCTGTAATTGAATAAATGTAAGGCAGAGCTGTTTAAAGTCAGACTGTGGAACATCCCATAGAAACAAGCAGGTGACAGATCCCCAACCAAAAAGTTACGTAGTGCCTAGGGTGGCCACTTATTTTGGGATAGTATAGTGTAGTATAGTAAATTAATTCTTCTTATATATTGCTTTTTGGACACTAAAACCTACTGACCCTGGATGAACTGTTATGAAATACCACCTGAGGAACTTTGCAAAACTGTTATAGTTTAATTAAAATCAGTATTGATCATCATCATTTGAAGGGCTGTCTTTACAAAAGTGGCAAGAAAGAAGCGTTTCATTAGTTTTAGAGCTCGGGATTGAGTTGTCACGTCTCATCTAATTTTCAGTTAGCCTAATGTTAAACCAATGGGAATTTTAAGCTGCTAAATACTAAACTTGGCATTCATTCAAGTATTCTAACAATACAGTAAGATACCAGTAATGAGTCAGCAGTTTATCAGATTGTTCCATTTTACTTTTATTTCTTTTTATTCACTATTTATACTGTTTTGGCTAATGAAGGGTACATGACCAGTAATACTACGTTTTTGTCAGTCGATCTATTGATGCTTTTCCGTTTTAGGATCACTTTTGTGGATTAATATGCATCCAGAGCATTCACCCCTCTAATAGAAAGTCCAGGTTCAAATACAGGTTATATCAATGGCATTGTTAGAAAGAGCTTATGTCAATATGACAAAACAAAGTAATACAAAGCCTTATATTATAATGACTTAACTTTAACCATAATAATCATATTCAAACACTTTATCCGCATTTGTACCATCTTGGAGAACCACTTTAAAAAGACCTTAAATGCTGTGTCTAAAGTTTTCTTATACACAGTTGTCTGAATGTTTTCTAAAAGCCTCTTATGTGAGTACTCCTCCCAGTCTTACCAAACATTCTTGTCATATTTACATGTCTCTAATAGAAAAGTCAAATCCTTTCTCACAATAAACAGGAAAGCTCCTCTCTTGTGCGTCTCCTACAGGGATCAGTGCATCTCTGCATCACGCAGCGCCACTGTCCACGCTCTGAGAAACATCATTGTTAACAGCACACAGCTACAATAGTGTACTGTGGATAAAGACCACACTCCCTCGAGCATTCAGGCTGGTGAAGCTTGACCAGCTTAGGCAGAAACTATGGACAAAGTTTAAAAAAACAACAACATAGAAGCTTGTTAGCTGAAGATTTCAATGAAAAACTAACTCCCTCTTGAGAGCTGAGATACAAAATGCTGCTAGAATAGACAGGGAAGTTCACACGAGAAGCAAAAGAAAGCAGTTACCTTTTGTCTAAAATTTATTGTGAAAAGCAACACCTTTTAGGTGCACAGAGGACAGATGTTATCTACTTACTTAGTTTGGAATTAATTTACATTTTGATTCAATTTAAATTAGGTGTCTGAAATGAATACTTTGTTTTGACAAAAGCTGAAACTTGATGATATGTGGTACTATGCAAAAGTTAGTATGTGAAACGTGAGTAGAGTGCTGGTATGAATTCACCTTTTATTGTTGTCCTGAAAGTTATTGTTTATGGTCCATAAATTCTGGACTAAATAATCAGAGGGAGTGTGGATTAGTTTGAGGAACGTGTCAAAAATGCCAAAATAACCCACATCACTTTTTAAAAAATAGACAATAGAAATAATCAGATAATTCATGTTTTTCAGTGTGCAGTGATCACCAGAGGGCTAGTTTAATCCTGCTTGTTCAGCTTGACATGTGGTGTGGAGCCAGGAGGAGAGCCCTACTGGGACAGGGCTTTGATATGTCGTGTTTTGGACAGATGTTTAATTCCCTCTGTGGGACAACTTAAGCTCTATTTGTGAGGGTTTGGCCCCATTTAGTTTTCCTTTAAGGTGATCTTCTAGCAGTAGATGGCAGATGTGAAACCTGTTCCCCCTGCATTCACCTGGCACTGGTTTAGGCCTCCTGTCCTCTCTGGTCTTCTTCTGTATGCCCAAAGCAGACACATTATCAGACAGAAGTAATAGAGATAGCATCTAGTGGTGATTTAATGAAAATATAATGGGGTTGAGTCAGCCAGTGTAAATAAAAATTATGGGTTTAATCACACTTTTCACTATTTAAGGAGTACGACTGTGCCTAATGTAGAGCTGCTGCTGCTGCCGGCACTGAAGCTAAGTATGGTGTAATAAACTTGTATGTGCATGAAGTCATTTGCAAGCAGATGAAATTTTACTACTTTTGAATTTTTACTACATATTAAACTTGGATAATTCTCATAAACCATAAGACCCTTCTAAGAGTCAAAGCTGAAGTGGTTTTAAAATTTCTATGGCATTCAAAATTGAGCACAACAACACAAAATCGGTAACAAGGGTATACAAATACAAAAACATCCAGCTGTGTTCACTTGTTTTCAAGTCTGCACAATCAATTTGAAATGCATGAGATGACATTTCATTAGCATATTATACAAAAGCAAGTGGTGTAGCAGAATAATCACAAAAAAACATAATTTGGGGTTTTTATTAAATCAAAATTTCTGAATAATAAATATGTTAATGTGATACTTTTGTACTTTTTGGAGTGTAGGTTGAATTGCTGCATAAACTGTTACAATTATTATTTTTTTTGTAATTATGCTTATTGACATGAATAATTACGATTTTGAATTCATCTTGAAATCCTTATTTGAAAGTGTCCAGTTAGTTCAATACCAGCCTGCGTGACGTGATTTTACAACCCGCATTAGCATTCAGCTTGAGTAGGCAGCAGACAGCCATAGGGACAAACAGACACAGGTATCCTTCACTCTGACCTCCTCACCGTCGCCTTCTCGTTTCGTGTACTGAGACATAAAAGTTTCAAATCAAACTTTATGTGAGGTGGCAGACTCCGGGCTGTGGGCCAGGAGCAGGCTGATCTACTGCGGAGGAGGAGGAGGAGGCTAGTGCTGACGCGAGGGTTAAGATCGACTGGAAGGTGTCTTTTGAACAGCTATGCACTTATAGGAAAGTAGGAGATATACTGAGAATTTAGTCGATTATTCGGTCGATGGTGTCCTAGTTGACCTAGTGTTTTTATTAGCTTGCTCATTAATGTATTAGGATTATACAAAAAATATGCACAAAAGCAGAAAGCAGAATCCTTGAGTGGGTTCAATGGAGCTTTGGAAGTGGCCTGACAGTTTAATCTGGCTTTTCACTTATGAAGATACTGTTTACAAGTATGTTGCTTATTTATTTTTGCCCGCACCATGCCTTGGCCCCGTTTAGTTGATTAATCAATGCACAGGGCATGTTAGGATTTCTTTGGTCAACTATTGTCTAGACCTGGATGCAATCACAACTAAACTTAAAGGTTGTATAGATGATTTTTTAAGGGAAGTGAAATACAGCGACAGTCCTTTTACAAATATTGTGCATGTGTGACACCACCTTCCTCCTCCACAGCTCCATCAGTAGAAACATCTCCTCCCACCTCCTTATTCTAGAAATCACACTTGTTTACATCCAGTGCGTGTTCAGAATTACTGTTGAAGTGACCTGTCTAGAAGTAATTTAGTGACCGACACGTCAGTTTTTAGACCCTTCGCCTGCCTCAGTCGCGCCATCGCTGGAGAATCACCTCGGTTTGGCTTTGCTCCTTTTCCCCTTCTCTTCTTCCTTCAGCGACCTCAAAAATTTACTTTCTTTTGTGGCAAACTGGTCGTGGATTCTCGTCCGCCATTGCAACAAACTTTGTGTGAATTGTGAGGATGTTAGTTTAAAAAAGCCTCTAAGAACCGCTACATAAACCACATAATCTCTGTGCGCCGACGAGTCAGTTACACTAGAAACGTAGGGAGTTTGATTGACGACCTAACAGCCAATAGATAAAGAGGTAGCCTTGTTTTGTATTGGCTGATGTTTATCTGGCCTCACTACATCCACAGTTGATAGATTTTCATTCTTTTTTTTTTTTTTGGTCATCATAATTACAAGGCTGCTGCATTTCTGTAATGGTATTTTAAACTTTCAATGACAATTTGAAACAAAAAAAAAAATCCTCCATACAACCTTTAACCATAGAAAGGATTACCTCATTAGAACTGAATCAGGACTCCAGAAGAGCTAATGCGACTAGTCATCATTTACTTGGTTACTTGGTACAATCTAATGACCTTTCCTGCAGTCTGGTTTAAAAAAAGAAAAATGATAGAAATTACCTTGATGCAAAAAGTAAAAGAAAACATTTACCAATTTTCTTTCTATGGAAAAGACTTCAGTGTACTGCGTCACTCTGAGTTTTTTGATGCGTGTCTTCACAGATCAGTGCTTTTAGATTAACTTTCATAATCTTTATATTGTGTTTCTTCTTTGTGTTCAGTTGCCTCCAGAACTACATTCCCCCAGAGTCTCTGACACTTTCCTGTCCAGTTTGTCGTCAGACGTCCATTCTGCCGGAGAAAGGCGTTGGAGCTCTGCAGAACAACTTCTTCATCACTAATCTCATGGAGGTTTGTGTCTGACCTATTTGAGATGTTAGTTAGTTGAAGAAATAGAAAAGTTATTTAAATAACAAAGTGAATCCATCCCAAAGTCTCGCTCATTTGACATTGCTAGAATTTGTATTTTACTTTTTGTTCTACTTTTGTTCTAGTTTTGTTCTACTTTTGTTCTAGGTAGGTTTACTGTTATTTTCATCAGGATTTAGACCTGGCTTAGGTTGCAGTTTGTCCCACTTAAAAATTCATTTTTCCTGGGTGTAACAAATGTCACTTCTTGCCTCAGTGGGATGACTCAGTATGTCATATAGAATCAGAATACACATGCTGCTGCTGGCCTGCTGTGTTGATCCAGACAGAAAACCCAAAAGCAAATGATGACACACCATCTAAGCGTTCAAAACCATGCCAAAGATATCCTTCCTGTTTATAAATGACGGCTGATGTCATGAGTTATATTGGTGCGATGTGTTGGTGCAGGTTTTACAGAGGGAGCCCGAGTGTTCCAGGCCAGAGGCCTGCAGCGTGTTAGAGTCTGTGAGTGCCGCTGTGGCTGGAAAACCTCTCTGCTGCCCCAACCATGATGGCAAGGTAAAACATATCATTTGTACAGTATAAAAACAAAGTATCCAGTTACATCACCTGGGCTTTGATCCAAACAATTAGTACAAATATAGGTTTACATGCAGATTTTCTATAAATATTTTGTTGATTATAGTGGACATTCTTTTACTTAAAATAATTGCAAAATTTTAATTTTCAATTTTGATTTGATTGTGATAAATTGGGGAGCCCCTAATACAAAACACACATATTATAACTGCAATAACTGGATCATAAGTAACAAGCTGGAGGATTAGCCTACTGTACATGTTTTAATTTGTTAAACAATACATTCTTTACTATTTACTGTATCATCTTTCCATAACAAAAGGAATGGATTGAAGGCTGGCTAAGCGCTCTCCTTTTCTGTGTCCTCTGTCTCCCTCTGCAGGTGATGGAGTTTTACTGCGAGTCCTGTGAGACTGCCATGTGTCTGGATTGTACAGAGGGGGAGCACAGAGAGCACGTCACTGTTCCACTGCGAGACGTCGTGGAGCAGCACAAAGCCGCACTAAAGACACAACTGGAAGCCATCCACAGCAGGTACACAAAGCTCTGATGTGGGACTGTGGGGGTTTGGTACTTGGACCACATACGGAGTTTATCACTGTAAGATCATTGCACAACACTGCTCGTACTTCAGCAGTTCACAGACTTTATTTTTAATTGAATTCATTTATATTCTTCTCCTTTAGCTCATTGTCATACAACATAATGTTCAGGTTAAATTAACTAATGTGTGTGTGCGGTCAATTCAGTTTACATGAATTGCAATTATTTAGAATACTTTTTTGAGGATAATTCTGCTTTATGGCTTGGTTTCAGTATTATTGAGTCCACCCTCTGCTTGTCTCCAGAATTTTTTGCTTTGCCTGGAATGTTCCACAATATGGTATTAAACTCCAAGAGACAGGTAAGTTACCAGGCCAAGTTATGGTCAGATCTTCTGAACAAAAGATATACCTGTAATTGAATAAATACAAGATAAATAACTTCAGTGCCATACAGTGGAATATTAAAGGCAAAACAATAACATCTCCAAAGAGACAAGCAGGTCAAGGACCCTCTACCAGAAAAGTTATGTATTGTCCCTTTAATATAATCATGTGTCAGCTAAACTTTATTGATATCGTATTAAAAACAACAACAACAATAATAATACATGTAATTAAATGATGTATTAGTATTGTATTAGTCCCATGAAGTGTCACTACATTGATAGTGTGTTTGTGACAGGCTTCCTCAGCTGACCGCAGCCATAGACCTGGTGTCTGAGATTTCGCGGCAGCTCAATGAGAGGAAGAGTGAGGCAGTGACAGAGATCTCCAATACCTTTGAGGAGCTGGAGAGGGCGCTACATCAACGCAAGAGTGCCCTCATAACTGACCTGGAGAACATCTGCAGTGCCAAGCAGAAGGTAGGGGGTGTAAATGGTACTGTATTTTTTATTTGATTGATTTTTGATTGGATTGGATTTTGGATCTATCACATTTCACATGTCATGTATGTGTTTGAATATAATGACTGCTGTTTGTGGTATCATAACTACACTACACTTTGTGTTTTGTTTGTCCTGGGAAATGTACATCTGAAATCTGAATCCTATTTTTTTTTTTATTCAGTTTTTGAATAAATTAGATGTTTACCGTTTTCTTGAAATAGCCAAAAAGTATAAGGCTCATGCATAAAGAAAGAAATGTATTTCTGCTAATATTTCTTGTCATATGTACCGATGTGCCCCATACTAAATTACCAAATCACTCAAAATACACTCAAATTTGAACAATGATTTATTTTTATGCTCTATTTCCATCATGTGTCATACAACATGTACATGTTCTGTATTGTTGTTGTGCACAGGTTTTGCAGGCCCAGCTGTCGGCTCTGTTGCAGGGAAAGGAGCACATCCAGAGCAGCTGCAGTTTCACTGAGCAGGCTCTCAGCCATGGCAGCGCTACCGAGGTCAGAGTGTGTACCTATATTTGAATAATAATGTAAAATAAGGTAATAATAAAATCCCATGATTTAAATCCAATGAATGTGTGAATGTCTGTAGGTGTTATTGGTGCAGAAGCAGATGAGTGAGAGAGTGGTAGCTTTGGCACGGCACGACTTCCCCGAGAGGCCACATCAAAACGCACATCTGGACTGCCAGGTCTGACCTATATAACTACTGACACTACGTAAATGTACACTTGTCTATACATTACTTTATTTATTCTTGTTTATATTCAGGTGGAGACGGAGGGTTTGAGGAGGTCTATTCAGAACCTGGGGGTCCTGATCACCACAGCGGCTGTAGCACACACGTCTGTGGCCACAGGAGAGGGACTCCGGCACGCAGCCACAGGACAACACCAGACCATCACTGTGACCACTAAAGACAAAGTACTACTCATTTCAAATTACATACATTTACGTATTACTTTTAGTATTCACAATCTCTCTTAGTGGAAACTGAATTTCATAGAAATTAATCTATACATATACTGAATACAAATTTGCACTGTAATGAAGAAGACTTGTCCTAGGTACTGTACTCATGGGTTTGGCCATGGGTTTCAGAATAATGGCAAATTATCATAGTAATTTAAAACAAAATATTCTCTTCTTTTGAATCTTTTCACTGGGGAAAAGTCATTTTGGGCACCATAGATCAAATCCAAGTCAGATCAAATCCTTTTTTTTTTTTTATTAATGCATTAACTATGATGACAGTGACAATTTTTGATCACGCTCATGGATATCTTCAAAAAACATAATTCCAGCTGTGGTCATATTGAATGTTTTTCAAGTGAACAGTCTAGTGAAGCACTTTCTCAGAATTAATTTATATCACTAATGCTTCTCTATATCCTGTTTTTCATTTCCATTCACAAATAAAAACCTCTCTCTGCAGGACGGGGAGTTGGTGCGAACAGGAAATGCAGTTTTAAAAGCTGAGATCAGCTCCACAGACGGGACCCGAGCCTCTGAGGCTGAGATCACAGACAATAAGAATGGCACGTATGAGGTGGGCTACACGCTCAAACATGAGGGCGAGTACCTGTTCTCCCTGTCACTGTACGGACAGCCCATCCGGGGCAGTCCCTTCAGGCTGCGGGCCATCAAACCCTCAGACGTGCCTCAGTCTCCAGACGATGTGAAGAGGAGGGTGAAGTCTCCGAGCGGGACAGGCGGGCACATCCGACAGAAGGCAGTGAGGAGACCATCCAGTATGTACAGCACCACTAAGAAGAAGGAGAACCCCATAGAGGATGAGCTCATCTACAGAGTGGGTGAGTCACTGGAGTTATCAGGGATATCATTGTTTACATGTACTCCAAAAATATAATCATTTTCTGATTGCTGGAGTTTTTAGATTACTGGGTAATGCTTTATAATAACTACAGATGAAAGCCTCAATGAAGCATAAACAAATACTTGATGAACAAATTAAGATGTCATTAAGATAATTCAATCTTAATAACAACCCTAACACCTTAATAGTGGTCACAAAATCACTAAGCCTGAAGTATTACTATGAATTAAGTCTTTGTTCGTGCTTCGTCAAGTCTAATTATGGTATTATAAAGATTTACAGATTACTGAAATGTTATGAAACAGTTACATCTGATATGAGTAATCTGAGTGTTCACATCTGTGCTGATTTTTATAAGGAAAATTGTGCAAAAAAGGTCAAACTAAGTGGCACAGACATCCAGAGGAAATGTTTCAGACTTAAAGAGTTATTTTAAAACACATTATGCTCTGTATCAGTTACTCTTCTCTCACCCGGTATTGAGAGTGACTAAGGACGGAACAAATAATGTACCTCATTGTAAAGAAAATTAAAGGGCTTGGTTTTGTTGTTACTGGATTGATAGGATTGCACCAACCAGGGTTAAGATAACCTAACTGTAGCTGTTTAAAAATATTAATGTACCAGGGACTCCTCCAGCTCTGTCCTTATTGACATTTCTTTGTGAATACCTCTGTTTCTATCTGAGTCATCAGAGGTCATAATACTCTATACAATTACTTTGAATTTTACTGACAATTCTGTCATAATATGTGGAGTCTCCTGCTTTTTAGTACAACTCCATGCAGGGCTAGTTGAATTATTTTGTAATCATATCTATTTCTACATATAGAGTCAAGTCAAGATAAATAATAGTTTATATCTGAAAAAAAATTTAAACAGTAATATTATTTTGCCAGGTTCCCGGGGCAGAGAAAAAGGCGAGTTCACCAATTTACAGGGTATTTCTGCCTCCAGTAACGGACGAGTGGTGGTCGCCGATAGCAACAACCAATGTATTCAGGTGAGAGAAATGCAGCAACAGCGCATCAATGCGCCAATAGGATTTTACCACAACCCCCATCTTCATGTGATATAATTATTTCAGATATTCTCCAATGACGGACAGTTTAAGATGCGTTTTGGGGTCAGAGGTCGTTCCCCAGGCCAGCTGCAGAGGCCGACGGGTGTGACGGTGGATTCAAATGGTGACATTGTGGTAGCGGACTATGACAACCGATGGGTTAGCATTTTCTCCTCTGATGGAAAATTTAAGGTACATCAAGTGACTCACTAAACTTCGGTCTCTAAAATGAAAGATAAAATAAAAGATTTTTTTGCTTTTATTTCCATAGAATAAAATTGGAGCAGGGAGACTGATGGGACCGAAGGGTGTGGCTGTGGATAAGAATGGACACATCATCACTGTGGACAACAAGGCGTGCTGTGTCTTCATCTTTCAGTCCAATGGAAAACTGGTCACCAAGTTTGGAGGCAGAGGCACATCTGACAGACAGTTTGCAGGTTAGAGAAAATACACATTGTTTTTTCCACATTAATTTACTATGGCATCAAAATACATATATTACAATCAAAATGTCGACTTCAGTATTGCAATTTATACTTTCCTTTTATGTATACTCATTCACATTATCATTTGTTATATTGCTTTGGCTCGTTTTGTTTTTTATCTGGTCATATTTCTATCTGCAGTCCCCATTATCTCTTCTCCATGCCTTAAGCTTAACTTGATGTGCAAATGTGTTATTTTATAATCTTCCCTTTGCTTTGGTCATGTTTATTTCTTACTGCTTAATTTCTGTTGTTGTTTCTGTTCTTCCTCCTTTTTCACAATTCAGAAAAACTTGCTCCAAACATTAATAAAACTGGCTCAAATTTCAGTAAGTACTTGATGTGGCCTTGCGGACTCCGGTGCAGTGCCCTTGTCTAACCCTCAGTATCTGTCTGACCCTCATAGACAGATTGAATAACGATAATTAATGTACATGAGATGATTGTAATAATGACTCAGTATTACAATAGTTAAATGTGGTTTGTGTTTTTGTGTAAAATTACCATGAATGATTTCACCGCCCCAATTTCCACTCCCATACAACTAACAAATGTCCATATAGAAAATAAGAGTAAGTTTGTCAAGAATAGTACAAATGTTATTAGTATTATTGCTTATTCAGATTACAGGCAATTTGAATATCTGAAATGAAAATTGATTAAACAATGAATAACTAGCTGCTTTAATGATGCAGTATGTGACTTTTCTGGTGGTGGTTGTCCTTTATTTATTTTTGTAAAACACATACTAATCATTGTATTTACTTTTGGGATCTACCAAAAAAATGTTTTCTAATTTCATCTATAATTTCCAGGTCCACACTTTGTTGCTGTGAATAACAAGAATGAAATTGTTGTGACAGATTTTCACAACCATTCTGTAAAGGTAAGAATAATAGTTGTTACTGTTGTTGTAGTTCTAGTAGTTCAAGTATTACTATACTTTTTATAATATACAGTATATTATTATAATATCTAATGTATTATAATTACTTTTTTGCAGGTGTACAATGCAGATGGGGAGTTCCTGTTTAAATTTGGTTCTCACGGTGAAGGTAATGGGCAGTTCAACGCACCCACTGGAGTCGCTGTCGATGCTAATGGGAATATTATTGTAGCCGACTGGGGCAATAGCAGAATACAGGTACTTACTATTTTAAATACTCTAAATACATTATTGTTATGTTCACACAACAGAATATTTTCAAAAAATACAATTACTCGGAGGTGAAAGTCCTTAGCTAATTAATTTGAACCACATCACTCTGATATGGGTATTTTTATGACCCAAAATGAAACCCCCGGAAAACATGCATCCTTATTCTGAAGGCAGTTGCTCCCACAGATCCAACCTGTAACTTGGCACTGCCTGCTTCTCTCCCCGGAGATAGATTAGTTTAAGTGAATATTGTTGAATATTGGAACAAGTAGGTAGTATATCTTCCTTTAGAAAAGGTACACTGTACTGTGCACCTTTTATTGTAGTTCTTTCTGCATTCCTTCAAGTACTAAGCTAAACATTTGTTGCACTATACTTGTACTTGTATGACCGATAAATTGAATGTAATCTATATTTGTGTACACAGGTGTTTGACAGTACAGGCTCGTTCCTGTCCTATATCAACACATCAGCGGACCCTCTGTATGGACCCCAGGGGCTGGCTCTCACCTCGGACGGGCACGTGGCTGTGGCCGATTCTGGGAACCACTGCTTCAAAGTTTACCGATACCTACAGTAGAGACACAGGTTCAAGTCCTAATGGCTTTCACTAACACTGGAGAGGGTTAAAAACACAGACAGCTCTAGAAAATAAGAGACCACTGCAATTTCCCTCCGAGTCAAATTTGAATTATATTCTTCATTTGTCAAAACAGTATTGCTATTATCTTAATCTGAAGTGAATCTTGAATTCTTTAATTCAATAGAAAAGAACGAATTCAATAAATTCCATCCATCCATCCATTTTCGTCTGCTTATCCGGGGCCAGGTCACGGGGGCAGCAGCCTAAGCAGGGACTCCCAGACTTCCTTCACCCCAGACACGTCCTCTAGCTCCTCCGGGGGAAATCAATAAATGGCAAATTCAATAAATTACAACGGTTAATTTATTTTATTTTCTAGTCACCAAAATAATCTGAGAATCCAATCATTGTACAGTGTTCACTTGTTTTCCAGAGCTGTGTGTAACTTCAATGTATGGTTCAAAATATGGTCATATATCTATTACAATAACTCAAGAAAAAACATACAACATGGAAAATTTGCTTTATATTTAAAATCATATTAACCCAAATAGGCATATCTTTAATAAAATGGCCGCTCTGAGATAAGCAAGAGTCGCATGTCAGTAAGCTCAAAGTATTTGCCCAATGTCACTGCCTTACAGCACCACACATGCAAACTGGTGTGTGTGTGTACCACAAATTTTAACTTTTATTTGATTATTTTTGCACCTTGTCATTGCACATAAATGTTTAATTTTGAAATGTGATGACCTGTATTTATGCATGTTGTTTGTTTTGGTTATATCCAAAGATAAGCATCAAAAGCACAATTACTGTCCCATTATACATTATATTCTAGAAGGTTACATCTTTGTACTTCATCAAGTTTATTTTTCATTAATTTTTCTTCTAATAACCAAATTTCTTTATACTCCTGTAGTTCTTGCACTTTGTATTCATTTGACGTTGTTGTACATATGCATATTATGGCTGTATATAATGAATTAATGTTACTCTATTGTAAAACCTACCTATTTCAGCATTTAGACTAAAGGAGTGGAGTGTGTGCAGAAGGTCATGCCACGTAGCCAAGTGAGTCGGTAGAACAATGTTGTGTACATTATTTGTTGTATTTTATTTTTTAAATAATTTATTTATGATTTCTTTTCTACATAAGTTGTTCTACAAATTATTTTTTCTAATTGGTGTGTTTGAGCTACTTCCTCTTTGCCAAAACATTGTTCGTACATGCATCCTGTAGCATCAGTTTCATAGAGCCCACATCCACTCAGTTCTTTCTTTTGCCAAATTGTACTGTTGAAAGTTGTTGTTAACATTGCACAAAATACTATAAGAAGTATATAGTTTGCAAAGAGTAATATATGCCTATGTATAGTTCTCATTTATCAGACAGTGTATTCTAATCTACAATCATCATCTTGTTGTAGCGACAAGCACCTTTACATAGTTTTCAGTATTTGTATTTGTGGCTCATAACACCAGCTTTAGGGACAGGGTATTTTCATATATTTATCACTAACTGTGTTTCTGATATTGTCATAAGTCTTGTTTACAGCTCAAATTGTGTTGTAATCATCTATTTCACCTGTTTCTGTCTTTTCCATACATTTAATCTCTAAGAAAGCACATGTAAAAGATACCAGCCATGAAACTTGTGAAGCCTCCAGTGTGTAATCCAAAAGGCGAGTCATACAAATACTACCGTACACCTATGTAACCATGACAACGGTATGATTGTAAATAAAGAATGACACAGGATGATCAGCTGTCCATTTTTTTTTTAATATATCAAATTATAGTATGATTACAATTGAGCACATCTGAACTGAAATGAACTTGGGATAAACTATTTAAAAATCACTAGTCACTTATAAACAGTGGTCTGATGCCCTCTTGTGGCTGTCTGAGGAAAGACCGTGACTGCAACCAAATCTTGTTGAGGTACATTCACAGCGTGAAAATGTTTATTAAGAATATATTTCTAATAATAAGAAGAACATTATATATAGAGCTACTGAAAAAGGGACACTGGTTTCTGCTGATATAAGCTTTTATTAATAACAGCATGTTTATAACTACACTGAAAAAAGTCATGAACAATTCCCCTCCAATGGCAGAACATTCACTCACAACCTGCGCCTTACTCGAGGCAATGTGACACCTGCAGCATTAGTAGGATAAAATTAAAAATGTATTTCAAAATAAAAAGTGAAAATGTAAAATAAGGGACAATCTTAACACAGCCCTAAATAAAAGAATATATTTCAAAACTAAATACTTAACAGAAATATTTATATCTTAATTAATATATGTGATATACACCAATAAATGACATAGTAATTCACATTCTAAGAATTAATCTTTCATATAAAAAGATTAGAACTAAAAGCGTGGTGATGGAATGACTGAAGACTTCGTAAGACAGACAGAACACTTTCAGCTCCATCTTGTATGTGCTCACTTTCACACTTACACAGCGTACTATTAATAAGGACATTAAAATATCCAACAAAGCACACTGGCATGACTCTGACGTTAATATCACCACCCACTGAAAGAAGCTGCAGATTCACAGATAGGCCGAAACGTACTAACCAAAATGAGCACAATCAAAGCCTAGAAATTAAATTTGATCATCAGTACAAGCTTTAGCACAAATGGGCCATTGTTGAGGGGATAGCGCAAGATATCAATGTGATAACTAAATTTTGTGTTGTGACTGGCAAAGCAGCCCAGCACAAACAGCCTGAATAAGACCAATTATATACATTCAAATGGCGAATGTGGAGAAGACTTCACAGACTGTACAGTCTGTAATGAAAAGCTTTAAAACTTACATTAAGTTCATTTTCAAATCCAGCCACGAGTCACAAGCCAGTGTACTCTTTGTGCTGGTCCCAAGTTGGACATGTGCCAAAAGGAATATAATGTGCAAACCACTGCATGTTAGAAGGCAAATGATTTGCTGTGGCAAGAAGTTTAAGGGAGAGAACCTTGTCCATATTCAACCGTTTCTAAAGCCTAAGCCTTTACAACTGTTAAGACAGGACAGTACAATCTCCTTTGTAACTGGCTGAATGAATCTCAGTAATAGTGACATATCTGCAGCCTGCTGCCTGGGTCGTTCTTTCCTGGGCTGAAGAATGGGTACACCGGCTCGTCAAAACATGTGTTAAACATGTAGAGTCTCTTCATTGTCACGGCATCATAGAAACTCAGGCGCCCGTTGTCATAGTCGAGGTAGACTCCAACACGAGGGGAGTTCCAGTAATCGGCAACCAGGATGCGCCCGTCCTCCCCGTTGGCATAGAGACGGTCCTGAAGACACAGACTCCAGTAGCCAGCAGAGGGCGTAAGGTTGACAAAGCCCTTCCTGTTGCTGCACTCTGTGGTGACGCCCAGGTACCACACTCCTTTGTCACGTACGTCCACTTCCCAGTAGTGCTGCCCACTGCTGTACATGGCCGTGGCCAGGATGCCACAGAAGCGCGTGAAGCGGGCGGGCAGATCGGGCTCCTGTATTCGGATTCTGCTCTCCTCCACTTTGGTGTCAAAGTCCGAGATCAACAGGTTTGGATGAGCTGTGTCGGGGTCCAGGGTGAGGTTTTGAGGCACTGGAGGAACAAAGGTAAAATACTGTCTGGGTCAAATAGAAGGGAACTTATTTTTATTCTTATGAAAAACTAAATCTTGCATCTAAAGCTGACAAAATGCAACTTATCTTCTTAATAAACTAAAGGTTCATGTAGCACTGCCAATATTCATTAGTTTAGTAATAGTGATTGTTCAGTTTAAGGTAAAGTATATTGCTGAATAATTAAACTTACTTGTATGTAGAACATGCATCATCTTCTTCCACATAATCAGCTGGAAGGGCCCTGAGAATTCTGAGAAGTCTGTCTGACAGTCCACTGGTTCAAAGGATTCAAATGGCTTGCCAGATATAGCTCTGCCAGAGAAAAATAAAATGAATGCCTTATATTGAGTCGAATAATATTTTCAGTTACATTAAAAAATAATGTAAATACTTACTCATTGTATGATTGAGACAGGCTCTGTGGGAAAAGGTAAAAGTGAGTTTAATATGTGCAAAAAATCTTCATTTGACCCATTCTTCAATATCAGTGGGGCACCTCAACAGGAGCAGTATATAGTTTATGACTAACCTCAAAACTGGTCTTTCCTCCAAGATGTGACTGGATATCTGTGATGGCTTTGGTCACCGCTGCGTGTTCTTCTTCTGCTGATTTCAAGTTTTCGTCGATTACAGCCATAGTAGCCACTTCCTCCGCATCAAGACTGTCCAGCAGTGAGTCCCTCTCATCCAACAAGAACTGAACTAAAGCCCCAACATCAGCTTCAATCTTGTCCTTCAGCCTCTCCTTCCTCCTCTGGACCAAGATAAAAAATATGTATTAAAAGCAGCAATAAAATAAAAGACATTTAAAGTATTCATAGCTAAATACATACCCTGACTTCATCTTTGGTGCGTTTGTCTGCACTTATCACATTAACATACTGAGTCTTATGCCAATTCAGCTCCAATAGTCTCAATTTTAACTCCATCTAAAGAAAAAAAATATCATTAATAAAAAGGAAGGTTCTAAAAAGGGAAATGTTTATTTACCTTCATCTCATTTGCAACTTCTGGCAGTGGCGCAACCTCATGATGCCTAAAGCAAACACACAAAATTACTCATAATGTCTAAACAAATACAAAAACAGTAAATCAGGCTAGCTTACAGTCCATTTCCTATTTTTCCCACTGCAATACTGACAGATATTTCTTTGCTTATTCACTCACAACCTTTAAGTCCATATTTCCCTTCTTTATAACAGTCCTTATCAAAGTCTTAAGCTTCCAAGGTCTGGTATGCAAGTCAAAATATGTGGAGCCATGTTATAAAACATAGCCAAGGCTGAGAAAGAGAAGTTGTCTTTTCCAAAAGCACAGCTGCTGAGTCATATGCCACACAATCACAACACTTAGTCCTAAAAGCTATGCACAGATTTCTGTTATTAAAAAAAAAAAAAAACAGAATTTACTAAACAAACCTGTGTGTTCTGGACTCCCTACAGACCACACAGATGGGCCTTTTATCAGTCTGACAGTATAGTTTCAGGTCCTCTCTGTGCTGACCACACTTCCCCTCCACATTGGGCGGTTTGGGAGATTTGGGAGCCGAACTCAGGCACTCCAGGTCGGCCAGTCTGTCCACCAGGTTCTGGACTGGGTAATTTTTGGTGAAGGTTCTCTTGTTAAAAACCTGGAAATGATTAGACCGTTAGATTTCCAAAGTAATACTAAGATGACAAGAGGATGATAAGGTTGTAGCTTAACTAACGCCACTGTCTTTCTTTGCCATGTGTACTATTGTTTATTTTACAGTAACGGTTTCCAGCTTTAAGATGGAAGGAAAGTATTGCCAAAACTTGTCACGCATTACATGCGTAGGAAGCGCACACTTGTAGCAGTTTGGTTAGCGATGTGTGGGAAATAAGAAAGGTGAAGCATATATGAATAAAAATAAGATTAGAGTAGAGCTGAAAGAAAGAAAAACAGTTCCCATAACAGGATGCTGAGACTGACCGATCGGCACTCTGGACACTGGTAACCGTAGTCGTCGCCATTTTCGTCCCAGTGCATACAAATGCAATAACGACAGAAATTATGTCCACACTTGAGGATGACGGGGTCTTTGAATAGATCCAGACAGATGGCACACGTCAGCTCCTTCCGCAGGTCGTCTCCTGCCCCTGCTGTCGCCATGTTTACACCTGAACACAGCGCTGATGCCCCGCAGGAAGTGAAGCCCAGCGCTCACCGGAAAAGTGCACGTCTGTGACGCGTGCGTGCGTGTCTGTGTGCACCAATCACCGAAATCCTGTTTCTCTCTCTTTCTTCTTCTGCAGTTGTCATAATAATAAAACTATGCAGCAAATTAATTATTCTGTAATTCTGTTATTTGCATATATTCATTTGTTTAGACTGTCGTTGCTTTTTAACTTCATATTATGAACAGCCCCAGATCACTCTTCTTTAAAGGCACACTGTGCAAATTTCCCCGTTGGAGAGTCCTCCACCCCAGTGAAGTCCATGCCTCGAGTACAAATTTATACACATCTTGACATATTCCTATTGACTATGTTTGACAACTATGTTTTCAGTTCTGTTTGTTTGTTATACACTATATAAATCAACAAGCCAAAACAACTTGCTGTACCAGTCAGCATCAATATTTATTTTAAATACATATACATAAAAACCCATTCATAAAAAGACACAGAGTGAATATCAAGTTTGATTGTGCTAAAATTGTTGTATACATACAGAATTGGCATGTGACGTATACATTACATTGCATAGCTTGAATTGGCATGTGAGGAGTGTGACTGGAAAAGTGCATTCAATGTCAGATATGGTGCTATTTCCAAATTTTACAGGGCAGGACAGTCACGCTCACAAACACACAGTTTTGCATAAGCACCCCTAACTCAGTCATAGCATAAGCCCAGCCTTGAAAAATATTGGAAACATATTACATAATAATGATGACAAACAACACCATATAAACCACATAGAGAAACACTGCAATGTTGGATATCCACAACTGACAGAGTTAACACATATAAAACAACATGTAACCAGTGGCAAGGACTTGTGTAGAGAATGTAGTATTTAATATATCTGAACCATCATAACATCCATTGTACTCTTGGTGCATGTTCCAAGCATAAATAAAGAAGGTTGCATTATTAGCCACAACATTTGTAATAAACTCCTGAGATGAACCTATTCCTATTATGTACTATAACAGTTTAGAATGTAAATACAAATATTTGTGCTGTATTTTCCTATTTCATGAATAAATAGAATGTGATGAAAAAAATTAAATAAAAGAACAGAAACCCAGCTGAAGTATGTAAACAAATAAAGTGAGTATCTTAAATGAGGTATACAAAAATAAAATGTACTTTTACATGAATTACCCACACAAAAACAAAGTCTCTCAGTAGTACACATTCCCAGTCATGAAAAAAAGGAAAAATTAACAAATAGAAATGGTAGCAGAAGTTCTGTAGCATACCCAGTTTGAATGTTGGTCCTAACCCTGCTTAAAATGGGAGTGTTGCTTCAGGTAGGGCATCTGGCATAGACATAGTTAAGAGAAAAAGCACAGGATACTGGCATGCAGATCATTTGCTGCATAACAATCATGAAGTTTAAAAACAGGCAAAAATAGATGTGGAATGTCAAAAATTATTTATATTGTGCAAAATGCGTATTGAATTTTGTCTTAATAAATAAAAAAATGTGACTTTTCACTCTGGCCTTTGTGGCATTAAATACTGTATGTGCAAACCCCTTGTTTTGTTTAGTTGTTTTGAGTTTGAGTTTAGTACTAGTACCAGGAACTCTAACAGAAAATACCACATAGTCAATTCAATAATGTTTTAAACAATGTGACTGAGGTGCAATTTTTCAGTTTCAATTTCAAACCACAAGGAACTTAAAATTGTGGCAATTCCCAAATAACAGACATACAGTACACACACCCATTAACACATATGAACACATTTTTTGGTGTTATGAAAGTTGTAAAAAAGAAGAAATACATTTTTTAATATATAAAAAACCCACATGCTGATTCTGTATTTTGAGTCCATTTGTCCATTTGAGCCTCTCTCAGACTTCAGAACTGTTGTGGCAGTCCTGCATCCTCACCACCAGCATTGGCTCTGTACTGACTGATCCTTTGACCACCTCCTGAACGCCCTCTCTCCACCCCTCTTTGCCATCTTTTTGTCTTGATCTTAGCACAAGTATAACTATGACAATTATTAAGATGGTTAGCAACATGCCTACTAAAGCTCCTACAACAGTTACTATGCCGTCTTCTTCTCCACGTGCGTTCAATTCACTTGTCTTTTGTCCTTCCTCGAGCAGTGTTTTGAACCCCACGGCTTGCCTCTTGGTACGATCCAGAGCGATGTGCATGATATTGGTGCCACGATTGTTTTCGGCGCCAATATCCTCAGCTACTTCTGGGATCTCGTCACCTACCGATCGTTTGGGCCGGTGGCTGAGGCCGTGTGATGGTAAGGCCAGATCAGTATCCGTGGAAACAAAAGAGTGGAACTCTATGCTGCGCTTTCCAATGCCTCTATTAGCGTTCTCCCTCGAACGCACAGTGTAGATGGTGTGGATGTACCACTCACGACCTGCAGCAACCTGGAGACAATAATTATACACAGAAAATGACAGTTACAAATATTATTAGTCATAATAAAAAGTGACAAGTACACGGGATGAATATTAGTTTAGCATTTTTGTTTGGCAGATGGTCTTTCTTGCATGATTATCCAGATCAATCAGATTTTTGAAATGGTTGAAATAGACACCAGATGAACCAAATCACAGTGGCATCTTTAAAAAAAAAATCTAATTAAATGAGGTAAATGAGCTAAAAATACCACTTACAATAATTTGATGATTAAAATTGTTACGTATATTATCAAGTTTAGCACACTTGTTTGATTGGTCCTCAACTCCACAACATAATTCATCGTCAATTATTATCCAAAAATCCCCACTCTCTTACCTGGAACATGGCAGTAGAGTCCAGTCTGAACCCATCAGATCCTGCCTGTCTGACCAAAGGTCGGGCAGAGGGGTCATCCACCGCCAGCACAGCGTTAAATGGAACATCCCCAAACACTGTCGCCTGTGTCTCCGGTTGAGCCTTGTCCTAAACACATAGAGGGTTTCATGATATTAATAATGTTATGGTTTAAGAATTATTAATGTAATTGTCGTGAACCCCCCCCTTCGGCCACAGGAGAGCTCACTCTGGTGGGGTAAAAGGATGAAGGTTTTGGCGTAAGCCCCACTAAAAGGGCTCCTGAATTCAGATGAAGATGTTCATGATGCTTTATTTTGCTAATTGAATAACTGTTAGAGTATTAGAGATTAAGAGTGTTTTGATTTAGATATTAGAAGTGCTTTTGTGGCCCATATTACCCTGAGTTACTTGTTTTGCTTTGATTTAATCTGATTAGTTTCCTTTATATTGATTTGCTTAATTCTTTCAATTAAATTTTTAAAGTTTAGGTTGTTTTGCAATAATTTCTGTAACCGTTATGTTTGTGTGCAGGAAAGACAAGGTCCTTCTGTTCTTTTGACAGTTGTCCTTTATTTGACACTGATGTACGAAACTTATATGTTCTGCTGTGTGCGAGGGGCCGGTATGCAAGGCGGTTGCGAAGCTTCCTGCTCCTTCGACGAAGCGAGGTGGCCGTTGCTTCACATCTGGCTGGAGGAGAGGCGTAGGGGGTTAGAATGGTGAAGATTGTGGTTTCTAAGAAAGTGTCGCCTGTACCTGAAAAAATGTGTGCTATCTGTGACGTACTGATCACTTTGCATGTACCTGGGTGAAGTTCTGTGACCTCATATAAATATTGAAAATTCCGCATAATAATTCAGATCCTGATTTTTGGTTGGCATTGGCCCTCCGGCTGTAATCGGCTAAAGAGGTCAGAATCTCTAATTTGGACTAGGCTGTGCTTTACAGCCTTCCTGGTCACAGGGTAATTTCTCCAAAAGGTACTTGCAAGGTGATTTGTCCTAATTATTTTTGTATGAGCTTTCTGTTAAAAATATAATAAAAAGCTGATGAAATAAGACAAAGACAACTCACTTGTTGGAATCTTTTGTTGAGTCTTTCCCTCAATTATTATATAAATATATATATATTCACTACGAGCGAGTCAAGTCATCCTAGGTGAGTTACATACAAAAATGCAATGTTTTTGATGCAAAGCTAAATTTGGTTAAAGGTTTTGAGGCACTGCTAAGGATAAATTAATATTTGCAATGTTTTGGTATAAAATTAAATCTGGTTAAATTCTTTGAGGCACTGTCAAAAATGTGTTTTGGGCAAATGTTGTCAGATAGAGTGTAGAGCATTTCATAGAGTGGTTTCTAAAGCTAAGTGAAGTTGTAAGTGGTCCCCAGGTGATACTTTAAGAGTTGTTAAAGTTACCTGTATGGTGTTTCTTAAAGTTAAGTATCCTTTTTGAGTGTAGTAAGATATTTACCTTGTGTTATCGAAGTTAAACGATAATTTTTTTGAGTGTAGTAAGATATTTGCCTTGTGTCATTGAAGAAATGATCCTTTTTGAGTGTAGTAAATGATATTTTTGAACATGCATTGTGTTTTAAAGCTATGTGATCTTTTTGAGAGTAGTCAAACTTATTTGCATTGTGTTTTTAAAGCTGAGTGATTTTCTGAGGGTCAATACAGTGATTAGAAAAGGAGTAGTGAGATCCAGGTGGTGTAATTCAGCCGCTGGGACTTTTAACAGTAATATTTACCCTTAATCTGTATCTGAGGACTTACCACAATCTTAAACCTGTACAGCAGTGATGGAGAGTCAGCGAGGCAGCCAAACTCAAACTTAGTGGGATTGTATTTTGGCACATATCCATCTGACCCAGTGCAGAGGAAGACCTTCTCAATACTGCAGAAGAAAGAGTCACCCAGATTCTGCACTGGGTCTACCATCACACGGCCGTAGATGGTATCACCTATGAAGTCAAATTCAAATAGGTCAAAGCAATTTAATAAAAGCTCAAACTTAAGGGTGTAAGTGACATTCACAATATTGATTAAGAAAATGTCAATTCAGTGAAGACGTTCTTGTTACTTACCCTCTGAAAAGGCAGCATCGCTCTCTTCTCCAAAGCCCATAGATCCATCTGACAACCACAAGTTCTTTTTGACAGCAGGAACATCTGAGTGTTTAGACTGAA